CGCGCACCCCCCAGTCCATCAGTATGCATCATGTGTTTTTCTCCATGGCAACCTCCTTCCTCTCATTCCCCCCCCAACAATGCAAAAAGCACTTAGCTGCAGTAGCCATGACCCTGTGGAGATGGCTAACCTCTTCCCACCCACAGGTAGCTGGCACGCCTTTCCTCTCCCCCTCTGCCCGCAGCCCCCGAGGCCCCCGGCCGGGGGATGCTGCGGGGTTTATCTTCTGATTCCTGGAACTTTCTCGCCGGCCTCCCTTTATGGCACTGGCGCTTTTCCCATTTGTCTCTGCTAACCTGTCTGCAGCCCAAAGTCAATGCCCCCCCTCCCCGGTGCTGGCTGGGAGACAAGCTAATCTAATCTATCCATCACGCGCCCAGGCGCTGCGGGGTGCAAGCCGGGCCGGCCCCAACCCTGCTCCCTGGGTGGCCCGCTGGGCTCGGCCACGGTCCCTGACACCGAAGGACAGCAAAGGGCGCGGCACCGGGGCTGGGAGGGGGCGCGCGCCGGCGATGATTCACGCTCGGGCGGCCTTGGGCGAGAGGCGGCCTGGGAGGGAGCATGTGGTGTGCTGTTCAATCATGTTCAAGGTGCCACAGTCACATTGAGCAAGGGCAGCCGGTGCCTGCTGCTGCTCCGGGGAGGGGCGCTGCACGCTCCCGGGCTCCTGCCAGCTTGCAGACCCCTTGTCCCAGGCCCCATCGGCCTCTGCCCTTAGGGTTGGCTCCAGAGCTGCGTCCAGCATGGGCTCCCACGGATGGGAGTGCAAAGCACCCAGCCTGCTGCTGGATCAGGCCCTGCGGGTTGCTTCCCTCGAAGCCAGGGGCTACTAGCATGGGAGCAGTACTCGCCCCTGGCTTCCCGGCTATCATGTCCCCACTCCCAAAGCCTCTTCTGTCCTTGCCCTACTCCCCAGCAGCTACAGCATAGGGGGTACCAACCCCCCCAAGCATGTATCCCTTGGCTGATTAACACCTACTTGCTGCCTCGTCTTCCTTGCTGCAAATGGAGCCCAGCACTGCCGGGTCGGGAGCGCCCAGCTGTTCCCGATGCCGGGCGGATCAGCCTTTTATAGCCTCGCCGTGCCGGGGAGACCAGCGAGTTGTGCTGCAGCAATGCCTTCAGCCTGGCCCGAATCCTTGGGCCGCGGGCCCCGGTTCCTCCAG